TGAGGTTTGTAATTCAATTTCGTCTTTAAGTTGTTCGCGACATCGTCTGCATATTGCTAAAACGTAAGATTGTATAAGTATATAACTTGTCAACAAATTTCTTTATTGTGGGGCACATGACTTTTTCTAAAAACGGAGAGGGGTCCACTCACGGATTAGTTGATAATTCGCCGGTTAAAGAATTAAAATTCAGATTTTTTTAAACTCTACACGGGGAAACTACATTGTATTGGTGATCACATTTGTGCATAAGAAGSGGGAAGGGCGTGTAAAGTCTACTTTTTTATAACATTCGAATGACGTCATCACCAAGAGCTCGCGCACATAAAACGGATTGAAATCGATGTGTAGAAGGATGGGCGTSTACCGTCAGTAGCACTAAAGTGATATATTTTATCATAACACTAGAATATTTTATCTATGAATCTACACTCACGTGATCCAATGGGTACAAGGCATTTCGAAAGCTGATATAGATCCTTRGACTGCGTATAAGTGACTCCTCGGTCTCCTTTTGGCTTACTATTTGGCTTACTATGTTTCGACCAACCAGCAGGGGCAGAGCAGGATTTCTTGWTACAATGCCATCTAGTCCCGTACATTTCACGATGCCGAGGGCATATAGTAATTTTCAAATCTTTTTCGACATTTTCAAAAATCCCTGTCAATGAATAATATACTAGGTCAGTAACACTACAAATATCATTTGGATATTTTTGTAACTTTTGAGTGCCAAAATATGAACTCAACATATATCTGAAGCAGCTACTAATATAAAAGCAAAAATCCGCAGCAAGAAAGCACTTACCAGCTCGAGCTAATAGAAGTCGAGATTCTGCCCTCAAACTTGAATCACTGACAGCAAGTGACCTTAGGTGTCCCTTGATTTCTTTGTTGCAATTTYCAAGAAGAACGCATTCTATATCTGCTGGATTACYAATGCTGGRCCCACATAAACCATCAACAAAGGACGAATAGCCGCATGCAGCCATGGAAATCTAGCGCAATCTCAGGGTTAATCACTGCATGAAGTAAAATGATCAAATRAAAGAGCTGATCGGAGACATAAACAAGTACATCCTTAGTATACTCACCGGCTCAACACGTGGTTTAAAGAGAATCTTCTCTTGAGACCTTTAAAAACTTCCTCAGYCAAACTATTTGGCGGGTATGCTGATTGTGTTGTTGGCCAAATACAGTGAAGCAATGCACATTACATAATGAGAATTTCTTTTTCAGCTATGTACGCATACAAATCGTAATCGATCGTAAACCACGGCTACCACGACTAACTGGCCGATTGCGAAACGCGTCCCTCGTGATCAAAACAGGAAAGTCTTCCTAGTGTTAATTGDGTGCGAAAAAAGTGTGCGGGCTTTACTTCATGGGTGTYAGTTTTTTTCAACGACTAATTTTTCTAACATACACGACAAGTGTTCACTTWTATTTTTCTCATTTGAGTTACGTAGAAAAACAAGAAGAAATTAGAGAAAGCATGTTAAACGAGCGAGGTGGATCAGGGATCAGATAGATATGACTTTATCAAAACATAACCCCGAAGTTCAGAGAATTAGCCTAGCATATACAAATAGTAGACATAAAATTAGCATCAATTGATAATAACTACAGTTAATACATACTGAAATTAAAACACAATCCATATCTAGCAGACATGATAGATTTCTTCAAATCGTGGGTTTCCTGTGTGTCACGCAATTTATTACTGGTAAACGACTTTACGTCAAAGGAAGTTCGAGAACTGTACTTAAAATGCAAATATGTATCAAAACAACTTATATATNAGATAACATCGAGGATGAAGCAGATCGAATAGTGACAGCTGCAGCAAAGATTATAAAGGCAGAAGTTAGGGAGAGGAAATACGATGGGAATTATCGCTGTGTCATCTCCCAAAGGTAATAGACCGCTTTCTTAAAAGGCGCGCGTCGTCAGCAGAGAGCAACGTATGAAGTCTGACGAGTTAGTAAAAGACAAAGGAGTGCCCGTTTTCCAATACATCAGTGCACCTGAGAAAGGCCTGGCAACAATTAAGTTTAAACCATTGCTACACCTGCAGACTCCATACACGTTGCCATCAGAACTGAGCTCGGACCTGCTCTGGCATTCAGGGGGAATTTTCAACGATGAAAAACTACCAAGACCTAACTGGTCAGGTTTTATGCAGCATGTTTTCTCAAATAAAAACGATCCAACTCGAAAGTTTGAAGTTCTACTTCTACCAATAATTGACTTAAATCCCTCTGATGAATCCTGCATATACTCCACTTTAATTTATATCCAAAGACAAGCTGAGCATTTAAATATCCCAACACCATGTATTACATTTGACCAACCCTTATGGCTCAAAGCAACAGAAATCATTACAGCGAAGTCAATGAATATAGTTTGCAGGCTAGGAGGATTTCATACATTGATGAGCTTCATGGGTAGCATTGGTACAATGATGAAAGGCTCTGGGTTAGAAGAGGCATTAGAGACGGTATATGGACCTAATGCAGTAACTCATATGATGTCAGGGAAAGCTTTTTCTAGAGCACTTCGTGGTCACTTTTTAGTAGAGGCTGCACTGGTGAATAAGCTGATTGTGGCAGTGCTACCGCAAGCTGATGCTGAACCAGAGGTAGATGAGGAAGGCAGTGGATCGACGGAAGATACAGAGGTTTATGTAGAAGAACAGGTAGATACTCAAGATGCGGAAATGGAAATAGAAGCAGCAGAAATCGAGACGGGCACAGATGAAAGCAAGTTMATTGACGAAGAGGTAAAGCAGATTCACAATTTATATGAAGGTGTTAGGGACAAATTAACACCAGTGTCCGAAATTGCAGAATCGATTGAATTAAACAAGATGGATTATTTCTTATTGAAGTATAAGGAATCGCTGAGTGCTAGTTCACCTACTGCAAAGTTATGGTTGCAATATATTGAATATATTGAAACTTAAAAGGTTTCATCCGCGCTGAAAGAATTGGAGATTGGCACCTACATCTTATTGCAGTGACAAGGATGCTGAACTTATTTGCTGCTACAGGTACATCAACTATGCAAAGAGTTCGCGCCTATATTTACAACAGATGTTGGAGTTGCCAAAGGATCACCCATTGCCTAATTTCATACCGTGAGGGACTGGGCCGAGCGCGGACTTTGGCGGACAACTTTCAGGTTACAAAGATGGSGTCAGCAAGGGCGTCGTCTTCACGATCACAGAACAAAAGGATTAACGGAGCAGAAAAACTACCTAAAGAGTACAGTTTTGAATATGTGAAAGAGCAAATAAAAGAGACGACTATCAAGACTTTGGATTGTGATATTTTGTCCAAATTTTGTGACAAATTGAAACTCAAAGTATCAGGCACTAAAGAAACACTAATCGAACGTTTAGCGCCACTTCAAGATGATGCATTGTTCGATAAAAGGATAAGTTTGATTGAAAAGAAGTTTAAATTCAAGACATCACTTCCACAAGAAAGTGTTSCTCCTCCTACAGCATCTTGGAAATTCGAAGCTTCTTTATTTCCGAGAATTGGAGACAAAGAAATACAAAATTTATCAGTCACATAAACGCCAAGGGAGGAAAGGGCAATATAGAAAGGCATACAGGATGTTTCAATCTCGAAGAATGAAACATATCAAAGTCTTACAAGGGGAAGGAGCTTTGAGATATGCCAAAAACTCTGTGTGTTATGATGAGGCCATACTTGCACCAAAATACAATGATAGTGCTCAGGACATCTGGCATGCAGGTTTGATAGCCAGTGAACCAAAGGTTGTTAAAGATACACAAGTACCAAAGCAAGTAAAACATGACAACAGTCAATCTCTATTCTGCTCTGAAAAAAACAAAGAGTTGCTCAGCTTACTATCTCAGACCAATGATGAAATCCTATCAGTAAAACTTCCAAAGTTAGAGAATATTGATATCAATGCTGTGAGCAACTATGTTGATGTACCCCAGGGCTCAAAGGAGTGGTTTTCAAACAGAATAGGAGTTATTACAGCTAGTAAGCTGCCTGCATTACTGGGTATGAATGGAAACAAGGAATTTGATTCAGCTTGGTTTTGCATCAACAATAAGCTTGATGAAAAAATTTACCGCCCAAAAAATTTCAAAAGGCAATTTGAAAGAGGCGAGATATTTTTAAAAAGCAGCACTGTGCAACTTTGCCAAAGTATCAGGTAATTATTCTTTTCCTAATCAAGTTTTTGGACATAGAATACTAATTGTTTGCAGACTGMGTATCTGGTCTACTGAAGGACATAATGATAATATAATAATAGAGTACATGCACTAAAAAATGAAACAAATATTACTAGATAATTACTACTAAATAATATTGATGAGACAATAGAGAACAAAGGARTTTGTAAGCTATTTTGTACTATTCATGTTTCATAGATTAAGTGCATCTACTCTAATAAAAATTTAAGTGAATTCATTACAGAAGCTACATTTTTTTAACCACTTAGTAGAGATTTGTTTTATATTTAGTCAGAGTAGTTTTCTATAGTATAGGCCCTGTTTATGTTGGAGGGTGTCACTACCTAGTAGGAACAACTTTATCAAACTGGCCACATGTAAACAGGGCCTTAGTGTTAAAAAAATAACATAACAACAACAACAAAAGAAATCCATTAGTTTCTAAATGTACAATAATTTATTTTCAGTCTTATTACAGTATATTAACTGTAATATCATTTTATCATAGGTACCCCAGTCATAGGTTGTGGCTTCTTCAGGCATCCACAAGACCCAAGGTATGGAGCAAGACCAGATGGCATCACAGAGGCATTTGCAGTTGAAGTTAAAACAAGAGCACAACATTCAGAAACRCCACTACAGAAAATTTCAGGATCACACTTAGTTCAGACTAATTTCCAGATGGCTTGTACCAAAGGTGATATCACATTTATTCAGTCTTATTWACCTGAAAAATATATTTCTCATTTCTTGTATGTGAAAAGAAATGACTTAATGATAAATGTCATCAAGCATATTACAGATCATATACTGAAAAATGAAACTTTTATAGAATGGCATTATGATGAGAGCTCTCATTTAAAGAAGCTCGGAGAACAACTAATTGGAAGCACAGCAACCTTTGAGAGACTTCRTCCCCTTAGGTCATGGATCAATGGACTGGCAAAAAGTGYGAAAAAAGTACCATTTTGTTCATAATTATTATGAATAAGTAAAGTGCAGTACAAGTCAAAATAAAAATGTGTAACATCAATACTATTAAGTACTGCTAAATTATGCCATGTCTATTGTTGTATATATTAGCATAAGATAGCTGAAAAGTGTTTCACAATTAATTCASTGTTTGTACTTTGATGCATGAAKGTAAAACAAAGAAATAAAAWTTTGAGACATCTCTTTCAGCTCAGGAATGATTACATCTGTTGATTAAGATCACCTCAAGTATCTTTTGGTCCAATGGGCTTCTTAAAAATATTCACAATGTTTGCAAGCAACTTGTGTACATAACAAAGAATATCAATTCTGTTTAAGGGCCAGCAAGCATTCAGYATTGCCCAGTCTCTCATCCTACCTATGTAGTTTTCATTATATATTCTAAGTRWAGCAATATCAAAGTTTCTACTGATGTCAGTTTCGTCGTATTGAATGTCAAACTTAAGGGGTGGGCGGTTGTGATGCAAACCTTTCTTGAGGCACAGGTCAGTGATGCCGAATCCTTTGTCTGTTAATACAATACTTCCTTTATCCACCATATCAAGAACTCCAGACTGTTCTGTGATATCACTATCAGATATTGTTCCAGGGTATGTATCACTACATTGTAATAGAGTTCCTTGAGGGGTGATCCACACTGCAGTTTTTCCAGTTGTATGATTTTTATATTGACTGAAAGTTATATTATTGAGATCAAAGTTTTCTGAGGCTGAGATCTGTGTCTCAGTGCAATCTCCAAGACAAGATGTGTCCCCAAATCCAGSACTTTCAAATTCATTAGGGATGAAGGCTTCTCTTTCCCCTGGCAATGGTGTTAGATCAATACTTTCAAACAACTCAACTAAAAAAACAGACCAGGCAACAAGCACTCTAGACAATGTTGGAATACTTGTGTTTGTCATCCAGCCCATAATGCCCAGATGAAGACAATGTCTTGAAATAGTCATGAAGGCCATGAGTTCAGTTCTAGAATCCATCTTCCGGTTGCCAAAGTCACTAGATTTAGTGTCCGGATACACTAAGTTCTTTTTTTAGTTCACAGTTTTCATTAGATATTGTTTCTATGATTTTATCTTTTGGATCTGTAGGGTCAGATATTAGCCTTTCAATTTTCCTTCTGGGTTGTTTGGGTTCCTTTCCTTCATTT